TTGAGCACTTGGTTGTAGAGTAAATTGGAATCTGGTATGTAGTACCTAGAATAAAAGTGCAAGACTTGCTTCAACTTATTTGTAAGTATATAGTTGGTTGAGGATATAATCCCTTATAATATGGCAAGAAGAATCCATCGGTGAACAAGTTGATATGTCATTTGTATTTTTTCATGAACTTTATTTATTACTAGCGACCCGCCCTCGCTACGCTTCGGAAACATTAAATTTTATTATTGATAGCTGAGTCCCGCGATGTTACCCGCGGCTATTCTCGTACCGCGGGTAACGCCGCGGAACGAAGATAGTCTAAAAAAAAGTTACTCCTTATATCATCAGCTACATATCTACCGGATATATATACTCGTATGCATGTAGTAAAAAGCGGTTATTTCAATATTACAAACAGACACTAATTTTATTTATATGTATAGATATCTTAATTTAAATTAAAAAAATTATATTTTTGAATGACGACCATGACCGCTCTGACAAAAGTTATACGACAAAGAAGAAAAAAACTAGGTCAAAATTACAGAAATTGCTCATTAACGAATATTTGTTTTAGGCATGACCAATGCTGAAGTACTACATCAAGTGGAACACGGGTACCGCATGCCGTGCCCGCAGAATTGTCTGCCGGCCCTCTACGAGATCATGCTGGAGTGTTGGCACAAGGATCCCCTCAAACGGCCCACCTTCGAGACCCTGCAGTGGAAGCTCGAAGACTTCTTCACCATGGACAACTCGGAGTACAAGGAGGCGTCCACCTACTGAGCCAGGCCTTCCCTGCCGCCCCATCGACACGCACACTCGCATTATGTAAGCGCACCGATTACATATTCAATTTGTTCTCATGGCTTCATATCTCGAAGAATCCATAATATTATTTGTCGAGAATTTTAGCTAATTTGCAAGGCACCTAAAATTACTATTCTGGTATTATGATATCCTTTAAAAGATAATTTAATAATTGTAGCTTTATATGATAAACCTTCTAACATAAGATGTTACATTCATATAAATAGTTAAAAGATACCTTCTGACTCGCCAACTTTAATAGATGTGCGGTAGAATGTTTATAAGATAAAATATTTTTTTTATTGCTCATATGGGTCGACGAGCTCACAGCCCACCTGGTGTTAAGTGTTAAGTTACTAAGCCCATAGACATCTACAACGTAAATGCCGCCACTCCCCACCTTGAAATATGAGTTCTAAGGTCTCAATATAGTTACAACGGCTGCCCCACCCTTCAAACCGAAACGCATTGCTGCTTCACGGTGAAAATAGGCAGGGTGGTGGTACCTACCCGTGCGGACTCACGCGAGGTCCCACCACCAGTAAAAAGGGCTCCGGTAACCACTTAACATCAGGTAGGCCGTGAGCTCGTCCACCAATATAAGCAACATAAGAAAAGAGAAAAAATAATAGTAATAACCGTGGTTCGTTGTTTGCAGGCACCGTTCGGCGTGCAGGGTGCGGCGCTGTACCACGTGCCGCCCGAGCTGCAGCGCTGTCCGCACGCGCACCGCGCCGCCTAGCTCGCCCGCACCGCGCCCGCACCGAGCCCGCACCGAACCCGCTCCGCACTACTGTGTGTACAACATTAACCCTTCAATTCGCATCGTCGACAAATTAAAAATCACGAAACCATTTTCCATCATCCAGTACATTTTTGTCGCGAAGCTATCAAATTATCTGATTCTCTAATTTTATGAAATTCGGTAAACAATGAATATCTGAGATATATAAATATATAAGCCGTCTTATTTGTATATATTTACAAAAGTTTATTGTGAGGCTTGTATATTTGATTTTTTTGCTGAAGATATAACACTGCCCTTGTTTGTGTGCCGCCACTGCAATTAGTTTTTTTTTTTTTCTACATAAGTTGGAATTTTAATTATACAACCAAGATGGCCGGTATGATGCTAAATTTCCACGAACGAATTTAAGGGTGGATGAACTTAATAAATATACTTGTGCGTTCGAACCCAGCGATCGCAGCGCAGGTCAATTTGAAAAACCTTCGTCTCGACTATACCTCTGACATAATAATATTAAAAAATTAGCTTAAATCGTTCACTTTATGATCACTATACACATGCTCATTATCATTCATAAAATAGTCGAGTGTTCCAAAAAAATCAACAATTGTTTTCTGTTCTCGTCTTGAGGATTACCAAGCATGTTTTAATGCAAACGGAGCACGTGTATTTTGTTATTTCTAATATTTGTCAGTTCCGAATCGGTGGAGTGTAGGTTGCGCGGGCGTGTGTAGGGACGCTATGAGCGTAGTGCGATGTATCGCGTGTTCAGAAGGAACTTTAGGCTCGGCAGGGATTTGTACTAATGTCGTGCGAGATAATCCACGACACGAACATTTGTGTTTCGAGGAAACCGATCGGGTATTTCTCAGCTTCGTGTACCATGTTTATTGTAGACGTAACGGCATTGGTGATTGAAGCCAAATAAAGAACTGAATTTTGTATACATATTAAACGTTCTGATGTTTAGTATTTAGATATTATTTAACGCTGTGTATAACCTTCTCGTGTGCTATCGGATGAAAGTCAACTTGTTTAGTATTCGTGTCAGTTTTGCCCCTCGGCCTTTTTATGATAATCGAAATATATACTTATGATGCTCAACGACACCGGATTAATTTTCGTAATTTCCAACAACAAAAAAAAACTTATTTATTCGTGCCAAGACTTTAATTTAAGTAAAAATATAATGTTGCCACATATAATAATAATAATTTGATATGGTAGTGCAATTTATTATGAACCATCTAATACTAATTGGCCTAAATAAGAATTTTAAAGATTTACTATTTATCCTTGATTAATATTTGTTATTTAAAATCACAAGTATATTTTTTTCTTGTTATTTATTTTATTGCAAAACATTTTAAGACGCCAGAGAATGTTGACGAAATTATACAATAACTACTTAGTTTTGACAATGAACACTGCTAGTTTTTAATTACCGAGTGTAAATGCAGGTTATGCAGGAAATGGGACAGGCTGTAAATATTTATATAGGATGTATTCACTGTAGGATGACAAAGCTGTTATAAGTTTTAAAAAATCCTTCATCAAATTGTGGTCACCTGAGTGCGCCGCGTGATTTATGAACGAAGTGTTCATATGGACCGTAGTTGAGGGTGTAAACAAATTAACGTTATCCATTGCTTTTTGATGGGATTATTTTTATCTATAACGATTTTCCAATCGTTTTAATCATAGATATGTCCAAAATAACGAGTAATTACTATTAAGCGGTAATTAAAAATAGTGGTGCATTCTTTTTGTTTTATTATAGTATCTTGTTTTAATTAAATACTGACGCACTATAATTTTACATAAAGAACTTCAAAAGAATTTCAGTAAATAAACGAAATTAGTTTCTTACTTTACGATTTTGTCTTATTACAAAACAGATGTAGAAGCTAAGTAGTTCTTCTAAAAATGGTTAACAGAACGTACGTACCTCAGATCAAGAAACAAGAAGTAATTCTTTGAGTTTCTGTTGTCTGAAAAGAAAAATATTTTAGTAATCAGTTGTATGTCTTCAGTGTAAGCTTTAATTTAAAACGTCTTAGTTTTTTGATCTGAGGACATTACATAATATATTGAATTACAGTGACACCAGCATTCCAATCGAAAAACAAATTTATGAGATTACACACATAAAATGTTTGCCGGGACACAGTAAAAATGCAAATTATTCGCACAAAAAAAAAAAAACTTGACCACTTTGGGATTAGGGGTAGATTGAATTTTGCATTTTATGTCACAAAAATATTACAGTATGAGAACGAGTATTCAGCAGTCGAAAATATAATTATGTGGAAATATAAAAAAGGCGGAAAATTGCATTTTTTTTTCCATAATCTTATTATAAACAATAAGCCCACCGCCCTTGCGTGGATGCTAATTACTCGTTGACACGCTGTTACTGTTGCACTGTGAATAGAAGCACGAATTTGGATATGAACGATTTATAAATAAATATTTGATGTGTGTTCATCATTCAACGTTAATAGAAGTTGTCTGTGAAACGGTTTTTAGTATTTTTTCCTATAAGACAATTTGATTCCAACACGATTTTAATTATATTTTCCTTGTATTATTTATAATTTATTTTATATTTTACGTTATTAAGTTTTAGCTGTATAAATCTGCTTTAGGCTTACGCTTTACACGGGAACAGCAGTTCGCCACATCTGTCACTGTCATGGCAATATTCTTTTAAGATTAGGTAGCTAATATTTTATCAAAAACCATCAAACATCACAATGTTACGAAAAGATCGATAAGACGATTAGATGTTAAGTGAAAGAATGAAAGTTAGTAAGTTTTAATTAGATGTTATCTAGTAATGGTTACTACTTTACACCTTGAATTGTTAGCGGATTGCGGTATTGTACCACTGTACAATAAATGCGTAGGTGGTATCGGCGTTTGATGTCATATTTCAGGTGTGACTGATGTTTATTGATACTATTTCGACACTTAACTATGGTCTTATTACCTCCGAGTATCAATTAAATATTTTAGTGTATTCCAAGGCCGATGTTACACCGCCTTGGTTCTTTGCTTTCGTTTCATTCAAATGAGCAATTTGTGCGTGTAACATCGACCTAGACTTATGGTTATTATTATTATTATTATTGTCATTCACTTATTTGTATAGTTTTTTTTTAACACAACAATAAATATAAATGTGGAAATATTTTTTGTTTTATTTATTATTTAATAATAGGTTGGGGAAAAAGTATTTTCGCATTATAGTATGTATGAACTTGTAATAAAATATATTTGGCTATACCTACTATTTGTATCTGGCTGGTTTTGGTATCATAAAAAAATTAAATTTTAAAGAAGACAAGTCCAAATTTAAATTCGGAAAATGTGTGATTTTTATTTTTCGTACTGTCAAGCTGTTCAACATTTATACACGAACTAATTTAAAATGAAACGGCAAAATCAATCAACATTCTAGTATATTTTGCAATTTATCACAAATGTTTTTTATTTCGCTTAGTTGATGTCTAGTGAAAATGTTCTTTTTTATACTACAAAGAGCTGAAACGTCGTTTTCTAATCTTGAAATAATTACATCCGCTTCGCTATAGTTCAATTTAGCTTTTTTACACACCGGTTGAGATTCACTTTCGTTTTCAAACATCGTGTCTATGTCCGCTAAATCGAAATTACCGCTACATGTTTTTTTGGAGCTTTTTAAAGGAACATCAGTATTTTGTACGCATTTATGATGGAACGTAACATTGTTGGTCAGCAAAATGTGATCATCAATTTCAGTTTTTAAAAATATTCCCAAAGAAGGATCCTCTCTGATTAATTTTCTTAAAATTCTATCAACATTCTTGTTATTTTGCAAGTGTCGTAATTTTTTAAGAGCTATTTTTGCTTTAGTTGAATCTTTTAACAATGCTCTAAATTTTTCTAGCATGTTTTCTATAAATTTATAATCATCTTGAACATCGACTGATGCTAAACGACACATGAAATCGATCAATAATATTTGATATTCTTCATTATTAGTTTCTATTAAACCTGAGATTGCATGCAGAATCTGGAAAAAAATATATTGTATTTTAACGGAAGTAATAATTTCACAAAATTAAGCAACTCAATCGCCATTTTTTACTCATTGTTTCACTTTTGTGATACCTTCAGAATTGTTCAAAGCCCTATACAGGCTATTTTTAGTGCCTATTTTTATTCAAGATTTATTAAGTTTTAAATCGTAAGGAAAGTAGGGGAGTTTTTACATTGTAAACATTTAAAATAAGTTTACTGTTATTTTGGAAATTCCCAAATAAATTGAGTGATTTAGGGCTATTTATGCAGAAACTACCACTTTGGCGGTCAGCAGATAGGCTATAGGATAACCTTTTTTATTTCTTAGATGGGTGGACGAGCTCACAGCCCACCTGGTTGTTAAGTGAACCATAGACGTCTACAAAATTGGTACCAGCCTGTGGCATTCGAACACCGTGGCATCGCTACATACAAATGCACCGGACGTCTTATCCTTTAGGCCACGAAGACTAAAGTCACTTTAGCAACAAGCTGATAAATCTCTAGTTATATTAATACGCCGCGGCGGCGATCTGATGTGTCAGGAGAGAGAAGATAAATTAACATTCAGAAACGAAATTTTCATGAAACGAGAGTGCATTCAATAACAATGGACAATTTGTACCTTTCCTGTCAAAGAACTTTGATATCTTGATAAACTTTCGGTGGACGTCATTGACATCAACGCCTCTAAATACTGTAAGTACCACAAGGATCCTGTATTCAATTTAGATTGTAAAATATCGTTATTTTCAGGACAAACTCTCTCCCAACCTCTTGTAATAAATTCCAATATCCTTCTATCAATTTTGTGTGTACACGTTGCCGCCAGATTCATTGTACTAATCTGTAAAATGAAAATGATTGTGATTTAAATTGGATGAATAGGAAATAATAACTAATTTTTTTTACATATATTGGTGATTCAACATTAATAAAATAATGGTCTAATTTCGTTAATCAAAATTAGTATTCGTTTTCGAATATTTATTTTAAAATAAATTAAAATTTAAATTATAATAAATCTTACCAATTTGTCGACATCAACAAGGCCAGTTCCATTATCAATATCTTTTTGAATTTCCATTACTTTATCTAGAACATCGTCCTCAACCTTACTTCGAAGCGTCGCAGGTAAATTTTCAACACCTAAAACTGCCAATATCCTTACATTTTTTTCATTTTGTGCACTAAATTGCTTGTATAGTTTCAACTTATCTTCATTATTCATAGCCTCAAATAAATTTCGAATTGTGAAACTCAAATGTATTCTTTGTGGCGAATATAAAAACAATATGTTGGACTGCAGTTCTTCGTATATTTCACACAGAGAGACGATTTGATTCAACAGCAATTGTCCAGGGACTATTCTGAAAGAACGTCAATTACCTTAACGTTATTTTATAGTTTTACACATAGGTAGTATATATAGTATGTAGTTGTAACTTTGATTATCTGGAATCTTAATCTCTAGTCTTAATATCTACTTTAACCCTGACGTAAAGAAGAATGGCTGCTCACCTTGAGTCATGAGAAAAAGGAAAATAAGGTTAATTTACTTCAGTGTGCTTAGTGCGAGTTTCTTAACGTTCTCGATAGCGTCAAAGTTAATCCAATTTTGTACGCAATTGGAACAGCGCCCCTAGCGACAAACGTACGCAAATGATCCCATTCCATACAAATATGAGCTAACTTTTACGCTATAGAGAACGTTAAAAAACTCGCACTAAGTACACTGGATAACAGGTATTACCATATATAATGCTTCGTGGGCACGAGTATGGCGAGTACTCGGGTTTACAGTACTCTCTACCATTACTAAATCCCTATTGCCGACCGCAGTAGTATAATACTCTTTTTTTCCTACCTAAACTGATGGTCTTGAGGGACCATTCCAGCGTAACCTTAACTAGTAGGTGAGCTCACGGGGCTCAAACCTGACGATGGATAATACTCAGAGAACGCTGCTGCCCCTTCACCGGCAACTCCCTCAGTCGCCTTTTACAACTACAGCTCTCTCTCTCTCACTCTCTATCTCTCCTACCCAGATACGCCAGCAGGCTGGGTATCACATTACATTCGAAACATCAGAGACACTTACAAACAAATTTAAATTTTACCTTGCCATTAAACTCCAGAGGTTGGACGAAAACAATGCACTAAAACATTCTGTACTGAGTATTGCTTCAAGCATACGTCTCTCTAAGAAATCGAATTCTTCATTATCCATAATCATTATTAACGCTGTCATTTTCACCAACAAGTCTTCGTACATGCTCCGACTGTGCTTTACGATTGTTTGACCTAAAAAAAATGACCAATCATAACAAAAAAAAAAATCTGTTTTAATTTTACAAAATATATTTAAATGTAATGTGGAAAGTAATATAACTTTGTCTGTAAAATTGAATCATTGATATTTATTAAAAAAAAAACGGTAATTTGAATTAATTCAGGGACTGTATCGGTACTAGCCTCCCGATATTGTGATTGGTTAGAATGAATATGGCTTTTCGTCACTTAACCGTTTATACTATTTATTTATACATTTACTGCAAACCAATTTAGTATTTCCGACATTTCGAGTGTGTTTTATAACGTGAATTCGTTTTTAAAAGCATTTCTGACAAATTTAATTAATTATTTCCCCATTATTTTAACTTGAATGATAAATAGCATAAAGATAAAATGGTGATTTATTATTACATATATTTTTACTGGTGGTAGGACCTCTTGTGAGTCCGCGCGGGTGGGTACCGCCACCCTGCCTATTTCTGCCGTGAAGCAGTAATGCGTTTCGGTTTGAAGGGTGGGGCAGCCGTTGTAACTATACTCGAGACCTTAGAACTTATATCTCAAGGTGGGTGGCGCATTTACGTTGTAGATGTCTATGGGCTCCAGTAACCACTTAACACCAGGTGGGCTGTGAGCTCGTTCACACATCTAAGCAATAAAAAATAAAAAAAGTGTGCATTATACTCACAATACGGAAGAAAACAATATACGCATTCGATGATTCTCTTCTTCGAGATTTTCGTGTTATTTTTATGAATTATCGTTTTCATTAGATACGTCAGTAGTAACACGAAGCCCGGTAGTTTACGTTCTCGGAGTAAATTTTCTATATTGCAATTGAGAATGGTCTGCAATCATAATAATGGTGTGGTTCAATAAACAGAGAGTCTATAAATGTCAGAGTTTTCACAAAACAAACAAAAAAAGACATTAAAACTAAGAACCTCTTTTTTGAACTTGGTTAAAAATGACAAAACATCTAAATTCATGTATTTTATTTTAGGAATATATAAGTAACCGAGTAAGACTAACGGTGTTATAATATAAATGAAGAATTTACCTAAAATGAGATTGCAAATGAAAAATTGCAATGCTGAAACCATAAAGTTCCATGATTTTTTTAATGTTTTTCCGAATAAACCGAACCTAAAGTAGAATTTATGTCTGGATTGTTTTTGGACTAAACTAGAGGTCTCGTATATGACAAAATATATTTTTATCCCACAATATCCTGATCAATATTTTTGGGTTCACTGATTAAAGCTTCAAAAGGTTTGTATTCAATGTGTATCCTTAGAGCATTTCACTGATGAATGGCTCTACATAATTCATTAAAACAATGCTTAATTTTAAGTATCTATCTATGCCGCTATCCACACAGCCGAGGATAGGCAAGAGTGGCGCAGGATAACCCAGGAGAAAGTTATTAGAGGAGGCCACGACCCTTTTAGCATTGAGGATTATCGACGCAATAAGAAGAAGAAATTTAAGTAGACTGTAAATCTACTTTTATAAAAAAAAAATGTTTAAACATACATACATTGTTAAAATTTTCATCCAGCATAAGTTCATTTAAAAGAGTCTCGGTTGGATTCAATACATAAGTATTTATTGTGTTGTTGTCTCTTTCAGAATTCTCACTGCTTGTATTACAGTTCCTGAAATAACATTTTTAATTAAGGCCTCTGTTAATAATGATAGCTTAATGATATCGTGTAGCGGGGAAAGGGCGTATGTATACGTTTTGACATACTACTCTTCGGGGTAATGCTTGGCGGCAAACACTGATCATATAATTTCACTTTACCTTATATAATATTAATTTATAGCTTGGAAAAAAAAAAGATACGTATTTCTATTATAAATTTAAATTGAACTTACATAACTATAAAAATAAGTAGATCGACTAAATGTTGATGTTTTTTAACTGAAGCAAGCCTAAAAATTATGCATATCTTAACTAAGATCTTTAGAGTGAAACCGGTTACTTTGAGCGATCTTAGAATTGATTTTTCATCTTGATTTGCCTGGAACATAAAATAATATTTAACAATTAGATTGTACCGTTAATGTTCTATTTTTTCCCTACCTAAGCTGATGGTCTAGAGACTACGTCAGCGTCACCGGGCTAGTACGTGAGCTCACGGGGCTCAAATCTGACGATGGTTCTAACACTAACCCTAGCAAGAGCAGTGCTTCGCAAATTTACCGCCGGATCGGAAACGCGACCCACTGAGATGATCTGGCGAGAAACTCAGTGGGCTGTGTCTATGGCTTAGTTTACTCGCCGAGCCCTTCGTCGTAAGCGATAAGTTCGACGAGAGCGATTACCGGTGCTTGAGGTACCTAAAAACATCATTAGTGAATCGTTTACCATTTCGTCTTGGCTATGTAGTTACCGGGGGCCACGATGAGAGGGTTCTCGTGTCGTGCCGCTTTATCGAAATGATTCCGACTATAGAATGCTTTCCTGAACATTGTACCTAGTCGCCTAATTTTTATAACATTACAGACAGTTGAATTAAAATTTTACTTCGGAATTTTATTGTATTTTGTTGTGTGTATGTTCTCAATTGAATTAGTATCTTTTAAAAAAAAATATCATTTTTTATTTATTGCTTAGATAGGTGGACGAACTCAGGGCCCACCTGGTGTTAAGTGGTTACCGGATGGTCATTAACAACACAAATGTCGCCACCTACCTTAAAAAAAGAGTTCTAAGGTCTCAGCTCTAACAGTCCAGCAGCTACCCCACCCTGACAGCAGAAATAGGCAGGGTGGTGGTACCTATCTGTGTGGATTTACAAAACGTCTGCCACCAGCAACTTGAAAATGGGATGTGGTTATGAAAGACTGAAATAATACAATTTCATAAATACTCAATCACTGTAATGTTTTTATTTATTTATTGCTTAGATTAGTGGACTAGTGAGCTCACAGTTCACCTGGAGTTAAGTGGTTACTGGAGCCTATAGACATCTACAACGTGAATGCCACCACCCACCTCGAGATATGAGTTCTAAGATCTCAGTATAGTTACAATGGCTGCCCTAATAATTAATAATAATGTTTAATAATAATCTAAAAATTAATCACCTGCAGAGCTGTTTTCAAATTGTTTTCTATCATACCACATAGAACTGCAGTACAATTGTTAAAAATATTCGTATCAATTAAAGCATTTGAGTATTTTTCATAAACTGCTATCAATCCTTTCCATTGTTCAGCCATTGTCTTAATGTCTAATGTCTGGACCAATTCTCCAATCTTCAAATTAATTTCTAAAGCTATGAAAGAAAATTATATAAACCACATTATACACATACCAGAATGAAATTATGCTAATTGTAATTGAAGATTGTTTTTTCTACCTTTTAAATTTTTAAGTTATATTTTTCTTATCATGTGTATAACATAGACAAACTGGCACAAATTTTTTTTTATTGCTTATAAGGTTGGACGAGCTCACAGCCCACCTGGTGTTAAGTGGTTACTGGAGCCCATAGACATCTACAACGTAAATGCGCCACCCATCTTGAGATATAAGTTCTAAGGTCTCAGTATAGTTATAATGGCTGCCCCACCCTTCAAACCGAAACGCATTACTGCTTCACTGCAGAGATAGGCAGGGTGGTAGTATCTACCCGCACGGACTCACTAGAGGTCCTACCACCAGTAAAATTAAATATTGATTTAACTTACCATCAAAAAGAATAAGCAAGTGCTCTCTCTCATCAAGGTCAAATGCAAAATTTTTTTCAAACACCATCAAATATGTTAACTGCAGTTCATGACAGGCACGGAATAAATCTTTCAGTTGATTTTCAACATTTTTAAGCACGTTCCCATATAATTCTTCACTGCAAAAATAATTCACAGAATCAATTCAAATTCAAATTATTTGCCACAGAATCAATTCAGATTCAAATTAAAAATGTGGATTTTTATTATTCATTTCATTTCAAATTTCTTAGTTATTTATTTAATTGAAAGGTAGACTAAAATTTAATAAAAGTTATAAATGGAGTAAACAAACTCTCTTCTTTGGTCTTTACACTACATTATGTGGGTTCGGCAAAGAATGTGCTCTTATCATTATCCGTATGGATTTAACCCACAATTTTCTGACCAGCTGCCTGCCTGATGTGAACTCTCAATAATTTAGGGGTAAAAAAACCAGAAACATTATCTAATAATAATCACTAAGCATCTCAACTAAGATTCAAGAAATGTTACTCCCTATAATTTCGATATCATGTGTAATGTTGTTGTTGTATTTTTTTTTTGGTCTACATACTGTTTTGCAACAAACTGTATTTTATGTATGTAATTATTAGAAAAAGACTGGGAATGAAATGAATGTATAGTTTCCCGTGTTCACAGATGTGGCTTAATTAATTATGCTTGTGAATTTTGCCAAAAACAAAGTGCCTACCAGTCATATCCTGTATGAAAAGAGGAGTTTGTTGGAAATAGGATGAAATAAAATCACATCCATAATGTTTGTCTAAGTTAAATATTTCCACCGGCTTACATCTTAGTAAATTTATTCTCAACCACTGCTTCTGATTTTGCATGTTAACCCTATACAAATTAGTTATAAAATCCACCATTAAGTTTATTTAATTTTTAAGGCTACATTACATCATGTTTTTTATTCCTCGGATAGGTAGATGCTAGTGTCTTCAGAGGCAATAAAACAAGATAAATATAGTTTAAAACAATATCAAACTAACCTGTCCCTACAATGCATAAATACAATCATCAGAATGCGGCTAGTGGCCGTTGGAAAATTTTGTATTCTGCAACATGACATTACTGCTACCTCAATAACTGTTTTAATGCATTCTGATAGCATTTGTAGTATGGAGACAGCATCCATCAAATGTTCAACAAGTACGTCAACTGCTATAGTTGTTTCTGATAAAGTACTAATTATAAGATCGAGGCTCTGAAATTAAGAAAAGAAGCGTATTAACATTTTGATGACTTCTCTGAGAGCTTCTGGTTCAAGACTAACCAACTGTTTACATAGTTAAATAGTTTCCTAAGTTCTTACTTGAGAAATGCATTTTCCACAATCATCTAACAGTGATAAGATATAATTATAAAAAGTAGGTTTCTTCAATTCTTTTCGGAAGCCACCGCTCAGAGCAAATTTTGTTTTGGATATTAAGTCGTCATGAGATAAACCATCATCAACTTCATCCTAAAATAAGAGTTTTTTGAAAACAAAAGTATACACTTATACATCAAATATGCATCTTCAAAACAGTACCGATATCAACTTCGGGCTACCACACGATATATCACCACTTTCGTCAAAGAAATCAGAGCTTTGAGAATTATTCATTTTTTTTTTTTAATAAAAATGTATAGTGCGTTTTGTAGTATTTCGAATAAATTGTATATAGTCGCTACTATGTAGTAACTACACAGTGTGTATTGGTAATAACTGGGTAGTGAGTAGGTATAAAATACTAATGAGAGAATACAAACGAACAAAAAATCTATAGTTTTTAAGTTTAACAACTTGATCCTCCATAATTGGTAATTCGCGGGTTTTAATTTACTTCAAAACTTCAAACACTGTCAGTTTACTAGCCATTTTTCCAACTAAAAGGCGATGGTTCCCACTCTACAGTAGACATGTGTAAGTAATGCGAGTGATATTACTCGGGTAATATTACCCTACGATGTAATGCAACATCACACATTACGCGAAGGAAACAAACATCACACTATCACCCAACACAAATATATTAAGTGTATAATCTATGACCCAACATGTTTCTTTCTTTGTCGTGTAATGTTCCTTAATACACGAACGGAACCGAGCGAGCGAGACAGACCGATCGACGCAAAATAAATGAGCAAGAGACACGGAATTATTCCTAGTGATTTTGAACCGTATGCTCTGGCCGCTAGGTACATTTTTATACCTATGGTACGTCTGAATTTTAATATAGGTATTTGTGTTTATATTTTTCATGCGGCCAGCCGGTAGTTCCCCGCAAGTAGTTACTTAATTTTTTATTCGCAACTTTTGTAAAATCGCTAGTCGCTCGTAATTGTTTAGTAATATTTCATATTAATTTTTGTGTTTGATTTGAATTACTTAAGCACTTGTTTGAAGATAGTTTTATTATTTGTTTTAATGCGTGTTTAATAAGTGAAAGAAATAACGGCGTCTAAATGAAAGTACAGTCCTCCTTGGATGCACTTTGAAGATATCGCGCCGAAACAATGCATCTACTGCT